TAACGTTACTGGCGAGCAGTACATCCTGCAGTCTCGATGCTAACTCTTGGGGTTGTCGTCCTCTTCACCTCGCTCACCCCATAAAATACCTCATGTGTACATGCCTTGAACATTCCGACTCGCCGGATTACATCTCTGCTTGAAAATTCGAAGTTACTGACACACCCTGCTAGGGTGGTCAAGTTTCATTCATACTTCTTGCGTTTTCTTCATGTCAACTGCAGCTATTTCGTATCTAGACCTCACTATGTCTACATCTCGGTATTTCAACGGATTTTATTGCTAACGGTCTTCATTCATTTCTCGACTATCCAGAAATAGCATCTCCGACTGTTAATTCCACTGTGTTCATGAGCTCGATGCAGGTGTCAAGCGAGTGCAGACGCGCGTGGATATTCATCTCGCTTCTCTAAGAAGGATCCGTTCTACTTTCGAAGCGAATTTGTATACGTCTCGCCTGTGGATACTATTCCTGTCCTTGAAAATCTGCCGTGTGATTGATTCGTGATTTGGGCTGTGAGAAAAGAGGATTTCAGTGAAGTACCTCTCGCTTTTCTTCGCTCGTTTTCCTCTCCCGTCGACGTTGTGGAGTCGAGTTACTTTTTCTGGTCATCCGGCTTCAGGTTTGGGAAAGTTCCCGATGGATAAAGAGCCTTTTCTTCGAAACCTGACGAGTATCTCGTACATCACAGCCTATAGCAGCTTTTCTCTATAGGGAGATCATATGTGACAACACGCGCCCCCGGCTTCCGGGTGTTAGGCACTTCCGGTACTTGGTCTCTCTTATATGAAGGATTTTAGATTCGGATGCCTATATGAAAGACATGGGGAGGACAGAAAACCACGCTTGCCACATCCAGGTGGGGCTCTGTATCCTGGCAATGGCTTTAATTCCTTCTCCTATGCGTTTCTACTTTCTTTGGCCTACCCTTGAACCAACGCCTGACCCATTGCCATGAAGTGTGTGCTCTAGTGTTGGCCGACACACTCCCGTTGTTCGGCTTACTCCCCACCCCATTCTGCCAGTGGGTTCTTGTCAGACGACGGGCCTCTAGCTATGGCTTCCACCGCAATGGGGCGGCCGGCGGTGGGTCCAGTTCCTGACCCCATCCAGATATCCCGTCCTTGCGTGGTCCGTCCCCAGGAACGCAGTAATGGTGGGCAACCAAAAGCCAACCTAGAAACTCCTATGGCAGGAGTAACGTTAGTTCGGCGATCTCTCTTGCTCGTACCACCCTCCCATCCGTCGCCTTTGTGGGGTAGACCAGTGGGGTAAGGAGGCAACTAGTGTAGTCATGCTTCACATTTTCCTACCCTGGTGGCGAGGCCCAGGGCGGGCTATTATTGCAAAGTTCAGTGGCGTTTTCGGGTGGCTCTGGTGGGCGCCGTTCGAGCACCAACACGGGAGTATGGAATCAGCCGCCGAGTCAAGGCACATCTCTAGGAGTACGAGAGGAAGGTGGAACTTTTGGTCGTGCTCAACTTAGGATCTACGAAGGATGCGGAGAATCTTGGGACGAAGGAGAGCTCGGCCAACACACACCGAGTTCTGCTCTGGAAGCTAGGGTACTCTCCTGGCTGTTTTTGGCAGTCTGTTTTGTCGTTGTGCAGAGTTCAGGTGAACCAATTTGAGTACACACCACACTTTTACCTATAGCTTCCCCTGGAACTATACAGCTTGGGTCAGGCACTGGTTGGCTCGTTCGTTCCATCTTTAATGAATTGGAAGGGAAGAAGCATGAACTATTATGCCTTGACGGACACATTTCAAAAGGATAGATGTGGGGTCAGGGAAGCTATAGCTCGGATCTCCACGAAAAGCTATATACAACACAGCATTTGACCCAAGATTAGACGGGCAACATGGTGGCGTGGGTGAGAGGGGTAGGGAATAAAAGTGGAGGGCTGGAGGAAGAGGGAGAGAGAAGTATGGAGAGGGTAGTGGCATTGGGAGCTGCCACGACAGCGGAGTAACCTTCCCGCTTGCCTTTTGCCTTTGTCCTCCGTCCAATCCGCCGCCTGTATGAATTTGCCTCAACGACGCTCTTCCCCTCTTGCTGCAAGGTACAAGGGCTTCCCAGAGAACCAAGAAATGTTTCCTAATTTTCTCCAATCCGGGGTGGCCGTGGAGTCGAGGTCAACCTCTCTGTTTTGTTCTTGGCCGACTTTACCCTTTCTGGTCACTTTTCTGTGCGGCCGGGTGTGTGGAGAGCCTGGGACGCCGGGTTCGGGTTCGGCCCATGTATCAAGTAAAGAGGCCGTAACCTTGTGTTGGCATAACCCGTCGACAGAGCAGGAGATGCGAGGTACGAAAAAGTAGAGCCACGAGAGAAGGGGGGTATAGCAGACTCAACCTGGATTTGGTAGCTATCTTGGCCGTAATGATAGCTTCTGGGGGAGGTTGGGGCCACCCGATTCATTTCCCTGTTACCCCATTCGCTTTGCTTCCTGAAATCCTGATGGAGCATGAAGCTCATGCAATATAGCCGAGGAGGAGAACCCGTCTAGGAAGGCGCGTGAAAAAGGAAAGCTTGGGGAGCTCTCAGTGGGGCGACGCGTTACGGGGAAGCTGGAAAGGAAGTCATACTGAAGGAGAATTTTTCTCTTGATGGGGGCGAGGGACTTATGATTTGCTCTCTCCTCCCTTGCATGATCAGATCTTATGGCGACCCCCTCCATCAGGGATACGGCTCGTCGGAGGCCTACGCATAATGCTGGTTGAGACTAAAGCAGGCCCAACGTCGACGGAGCTTAGAAGAATGCGAAGTAAGACCACCTCATCTTGTTAGTCCGGAGGAGCGATAGTGGGGAGGGACAATGAACGGAACCGGACGAGGAGTGAGTGAGGCTCGCTTGGCCGAATCCTGTCACCCACCCACGCCGGAACCATGAGTTCTCCACAACTAGTGCCTTTGCCATCCGTTATCCTTCAGTACGAAATGTTGCTGATATAGGGGGTGAGGCTAAGAGATTTGGCAGCGCCTCTTGACGCTTTTTTCTTCAAAGCAGAGTCTGTCTGTCAGGTAAGGTCTGCGGTCATGCGGTATGTTCTTGTGATCGGCCGATGAGGCTAGAATCGAGCGCTTTCGTTGCCAGAACTCTACTAATATGACGATGCAGTATTGGCCGGTGGTCGCCGATTCCCATGAGCTGGTTCCAGAGTCGTGAGCGGAGACGACGTGGTTGAGTTGTGAGAAGGGAAGTTGTGTGTCGGGGGGCTCGCCGGTAGGTTTACTAGTGGTAGCCCAAGCCTTGGCTAACAGATGACGGCCTCTCGGTAGACAAGACAGAGGATAGGTTTGGACTAGCCTTAAGTCATTTCCCAGATCTCCGCGTCCTCGGAATGGCGAGGCTGACCCCGTCCTCGGGAGTCCAAGTGGTCTCTCTGGCATCAGGGATTCAGCAAAGCTACCAGAGTCTCGACGGCCAGTAGCGTTGATGCATTGACGATGAACTCAACCACTGGTCGAACTATTGACGTGTTTTCCCATAAAATACGCCTGCTAGAGAGTACCCTCTTCCAACGTTCCATGTTCGGTTTTTCATTTCATTGGGGAATGGCTGTTGTAACAAGCTTAGAGCTTCAGAAACAATGTCTTCGCAGTTCAGGGTTCACCCTCTCGACAATCCCTAGTGTTTCTCGAGGGTGATTCGTTGGTAATGGTGGCCAGGGCCCTCTCTTCGACTTGTAGATGGAGGAATAGACACTGCAGAAACGATCCAAATACTCACGGCTTTGGCTTCTTCAGCTCACGCCTGCCAAATGCTATCCCGGCAGCCTCGACCATGGGACTCGCCGCTCTCTGTAGTCGAAGGGCTTGACGCCAGCCTCAACAATGCTGTTCATCGTTCGTCGTAGAGTCCCGTAGGGAGGATTTTGACACTTACGCAGAACCGTTTGATAGGGATAGAGTAATCGACATCAAGCGCGATATCTGCAACATCGTATATCTTTTTGTAAGGCAAGTTGTTCGTATATCTTCTATGGGGTTTAAGAAGTTTACTAGTAAGATTTCCTTCACCAGGACATCAGACGTAGCCACCTTTTGTCTCAGTCAGACAATTTTTGTCACCGAGGAAAGAACCTCTGGACTTTGATAGTGCCTACTAGCTGCCTGGGGGCTGGTGTGTTCTGAGGCAGGATCTTGTCTCCCATTCCCTAGTTATCTCAAGGAAAGGCGTCAGATTGTCAACGTCTACTAAAGTACGTGAGGACCTTGAAATAAACTGGAACCTTCTTAAGAGGATCACTACCGACAGCGTCCACAGCCTCTGCCAATATTCTCCTTCATTGAAAATGGAAGCCCGACCAGAAGTGGTCTTTAGGTCTAGATATCGGAGCGGCGTGCCTGGTATGCATTGTACAGATCGCTGATCAGCCTATCCTCCCGGAGCACCGATGCTTCCTTCAGGTTAGGATCTGGCTGGTGAACTAACCCCAGAGCCGCAGCGCTCTTCTTATCGGCGGGTCCCATTTTGCAGCAATGAGTGTTCCTTTCAGGGTTGTCTGTCTGGTTGATCTGGACGGCATCAACCTAGAGATCAGCTCTCACAAACTCGGATTTGCCGCAGGGCCTCGACGAGGCTCTTAGAGGCCTCAAATATGTAACCGTTGCCTAGAATGGCATCTGGATCACAAAGAATCTGCAGTCTTTGAACGTGGAAACGAAGAAACTTCGATTGCTAGTCCCCTAGCGCTGGCCTTTGACAGGGTATCTCCCATTAACGCTCAACGCAGACGGAAATCTTCGGCTCAGCTATTCTAGCGTTTATGAGCGAGCAGTAGATCCGAGCGATCTCGGAGGATGAGGAACCTTTTCGGCTATCACCATGAATAGCAGGATGCTACGGTTTTACAAATGCTGGGTGAAGCGTGCGTTAGCCTAGTTCTATTCTCGAGATGTCTGACGTGGCAGGATACAACACGAACCACCCCCAATGGTCAAGAGATACTTTTAATTTGATCTATTCAAAACTTATACATATGTTCTACCACTTTTTTAATACTCATAGAAACCCTTTCCGCTCTTCTTGCCAAGCCAGCCAGCATCCACCATCTTCCTCAACAGCACGCTAGGCCTGTACTTGGAGTCGCCTGTCTCCTCATGGAGCACCTTCATGATGGCGAGGCAAGTGTCGAGACCAATGAAGTCAGCAAGCTGGAGAGGGCCCATGGGGACGTTGGTGCCGTTCTTCATGATGGCATCAATCGAGTCGCGGTCACCGACACCGGTCTCGAGGCAGATGACAGCCTCGTTAATGTAAGGCATCAGGATACGGTTAGCAAGGAAGCCGGGAGAGTCGGCAGAGACCGAGGCGATCTTGCCCATAGCCTTGCAGAACTCGATGGCAGTCTCGAGGGTCTCGGCAGAGGTCTGAAGTCCGCTGATGATCTCAACACCCTTCTGCACGGGGACGGGGTTCATGAAGTGGGTGGAGACGACACGGGAGCTAGCCTGGGTGTCCTTGGGATCCTTGGTGGTGGCGGCAGCAATGCTGGTGATGGAGATGGAAGAGGTGTTGGTGGCCAGAATGGCATGCTTGGGGCAGATTTGCGCAAGCTTGGAGAAGATGTCAAACTTGAGTTGGGGAATCTCCGGGACGGCCTCAATGACGAAGTCGACGGTGGAGAGGTCCTCAAGAGCGGTATGAGGAGTCAGGAGGGAGCGAGCCTTATCAGCCTGTTCCTGGGTGATCCTAGACTTGGCCACATCCTTTGCAAGAAGTTTCTCTATTTGATTTGAGGTCGTCAGCTCTCAATGACCGAGGAGGCCGCGGCCCAGCCGTTGGTGGGTGTAAGCTCGTCCATACCTGCGAAGGCCAATCCCTTATCCAGAGCGGCCTTAGACGTATCAACCAGCTTCACGGGAACGCCAGCCTTGTTCGCAGCCACCAACGCAATACCGAGACCCTTATTTCTGTTAGAATGGCTCTCAATTGCATCTTTCCTGCTGTAAGACCTACCATCTGTCCAGAGCCGATAACACCAAGGCTCTTCACGGTGGCAGCATTTTGGCGGGGAGTGGAGCTGAAGCTCCTGACCTGGGACGCCAGCCTACGGCTCTGTACACGGAGGATTGGGCTCGCCATGACGGTGGTGGAGGTGGATAGAAGATTTGGAGATGTGTAAGATGGAGATGAAGTGAAGTGGCATCGCATCGGCCCTCTTTTTCATGAGATTCGAATCCTACAAAATGAATGATCTCATAGAGCCGGCTAACCTCGGCGTCCGAGGCTAACCCGGCATAATGCCACTGCCATACAGCTGTCACCGTCCGGAAGCTCCACAAGGCGGTTATACCAATAATTACTTCGTATGCAACAAGCAATTGAATTCATGTGCCTTTGCCAGAATCCACTTTAAGTCGCGCCAAGACGCGCTGAAGGGACGCGTCGCAGGGGTTGGATGGCAACCATCACCAAATTCAAACAAAGCCACCACTGGTCTCAATATCAACGAAAATCGTGAGAGCACTCACTCACATGCCCAGTCGTAACACAATGCTTCTGGTGGCGACCGTCATATCCTGATAACAGCCCATTCTAGTCTTCCCTGCAGCGACAATGGAGCTGGAAGACGGCACGACTGATATCGTCCATCCCGAAGTTCGAGCCCACATCAACAGCCTTGTCTCCGCTGTACGTTTCCTATCCTTCCTGTACTGAGCCCGAACCATTGGAATCTTTTGAACTAACCGTTGCGACACCCCTCACGAAAGCTTGGCGGTACGAGTGCCGACGATGACGGCCGCTACGTTCTGGGCGACGATGCCCTCGACGTCCTCCGGGATCTCAAGAAATGGATTCGCTACTATGACGAAAAAATGAGCCGAATGGATGTGGCGCGCTGCATTGCCGACTCGAGCATTGTCGATGGAGATCTCCTGCACATTTTAGCGTTGTGGACCGAGAGCGAGTCGGAGAGCAAGTTCAGAGCCAGGCTTGCCCTCGCCTGTCTGGAGGTTATTGTGCCTCTGACATGGCCATTCGACAAGGATCCCGAGAGGTTGACTGTCAACAATTACCGGCATATTCCTGTTCTCGAGCTAGCGCAGTTGAGGTACAAGCGAGCCATCATCAACTACGATGCCGCCCGGGTCCTACATACAGCAGTGAGGATGGCCTTGCCGTCCATGGCACTTCCGATCGGAGACAGGTCCCCTAGGGACCAGGGCGTCATCAAGCTTGTCCTCTACTTCTTCCGGAATATCGCCATGATCGCGCCACCCCCGGGTGTCAAGTACGACGGTGACGAGACACAAATATCTCGTTCCGCCCTTATCGATGCCTTCTCGTACCAGGACATCTTTCTTCTGCTCTTGACGATTGCATCGAACATGGGCGAGGACTTTAGGACAGAGGATGTCATTATAATGGAGATCTTGTTCCACCTGATCAAGAGGGTAGATGCTGAGAGGCTCTTTATGAGCGAGAAACAGCAGGACAAGGCAAAAGCGGCGGACCTAGTCGCCATGATGAAGAAGGAGGAGGCGCTGCACAATTCTTTCAAGAAGCATGCGCCAACTCGCCACAACCGATTTGGAACCACAATCTGGGTCAAGAGAGACGATGGCAAGATGTCTACCATTTCTAGCCAGGCGGCACTCATCGACGCCGCCACTCGCCAGCGCAAGCTCGATGAAACCAAATCCTTCAGACCACCCAAATATCGTCGGAAGAACGAGGCGGACAACTCGGATCTCGGCCCAGCTCCCAAGCTTAACACGAGGGCAAGCGAGCAACTAAGGGCGTTCGTGTCCGAGTTCTTAGATTCCGGCTTCAACCCCCTTTTCCAGCATATCCGTCGCTCGATCGACCGAGATGCGCAGCACGTTCTCCACTACCATTCGAAACAGTTCTTCTACCTTGTAGCTTGGTTCCTCCGGGCCGAGCGGGCGAGGCAAAAGGCGAATAATAAACCCAAGCCTAGACCAAATGCTGAAGAGGAGAATGAAGTTAGCCCCTTCAGCCTCGTTGCTGGCGTTCTGAACCAGGAGATGTTTATCGCCTTGCAGAGATCAATGAGGTCTGCGTTAGACAATCGGAGCTGGGGGGACTTAATTGCAGTCATGCGATGTTTCACGCAGATCCTGCTGACCGTTCAGGACATGACGGCTACGGGCAATGAGGCGGACGAAGAGATTGCCGAGAATATCTTGAGCCGTCTCTTCTATGAAGATACCGTCCACGAACTCGTGACTAGCGTAGTCCGGAATTACAACCATCAAGGGTTCGAATTCCTAGACGCCTCGACCGAGTTAGTGCACCATTTCGTGCGTCTCCTCGAGGCTTATTCCAAAAGGAACGTTGATATGCAAGTCCGGTCAAGGAAGAAGGCGCGCAAGAAGAAGCGGGATGCCGCTAAGGCCGGTACCGAGAACGACGACGCTGACGACCTCGGCGGCTCCGACGAAGACGAGCAAGAGGCGCAGAAGACGGTCTCTGAACGAAAGTTCAGCTTCCAGGCTTTCACGCAGCGGTTTATCCCTCAGAATGTGGTGGACACGTTTGTGATTTTCCTCAAGCACTACAAGGAGCTTAACGACGACCAGCTCAAGCGAGTTCATCGGTACTTTTACAGGCTAGCTTTTAAGCAGGATAAGGCGGTGATGTTGTTCCGCGTCGACATCATTCATCTTCTTTATAATATGATTAAGGGCCCCGAACCCCTTGATAGGGGCTCGAGCCTGTATAAGGACTGGGAAGAGCTCATCAAGCAGGTGTTTCGCAAGCTGGTCAAGAAATTCCAGGAACGACCTGCTCTTGCTGTGGAAATGCTTTTCAGCAAAACCAACGAAATTGCCCATTACATCGAGACCGGTGCGAGGAGGGAGAAAAAGAAGGCGAACCCCCGACCGGCGGCGGAGTTGGAGTTTCGGCAGACGGAGGAGCTGGACAAGCAGATTGGCATTGTGGTTGGTGCCCTGCTTGACAGAAACGAAATCGAGCACATCTCCTGGGTGAAGCGTGTCCTCAGGGCCGCGGAGCAGGAGAGGAGAGAATTTGCGGAGGCTCAAGCGGCTCTTCCTTCAGTTGAGACGGACGCGGGAGAGAATAACGGGGAGGCTGGACCCCCCGTTGAGCCACCGAAGGAAGCCAAGGAGGCTCCTTCTTACAGTAAGTTACAACGACGAGTATAGGTCTCCCGTCTGTACGAGCCGCTCTATGCTAATCCTAATGCCCTCGCAGCTGTCAGCGCGGATAACGAAGACCGTCGTATGGCTATGTTGAAGGACCCCTATCTCCGCCTTCTGATGAACACCGTTGGAATCCGGCGACTAAGCCCAGGCCTCGAGGAGACCCTCGAGTCCATCTGGACCATTCCGTCAGACGTCACTGCGGACCAGCTCAAGGAGTACGTCGATCTCATCAATGCGGCCGAGTTCAACCCACCCACGTTTGAAAACGGCGAGGCGGCAGAGAAGCAGCTGCGTCGGAAGACGAACCGTACGCGCGCCTACGTCTCGTCTGACGAGGACGACGAGAACGAAGAGCTCTTCCCGGCCGGAGGCCCAACAGCGCGTCGGGCCATTGACGGCGAACAGCGGCCAAAGAAGTCGAGGCGGCACAGGAGGAGAAGGAGCCAATCGCCCGACGAGGCCGAGCTCGACGAACGAGCGCGGAAGAGGAAGGAGAAGGAGCGCGAGCGGCGGTCGAAGATCAAGAGCGAGATGTACGTGTATGACAGCGACCTCGACAGCGAGGCGAACAGGGAGTTTTTCGCGCGGGAGGAAGAGCTGCGGCAGAAGAATCAGGCGGTGGCGGAGGCGGCGGGGCAGGCGATTCCGGGCATCGTGCCGGCGAATAAGAAGAACGGGAAGAAGAGGAAGAAGACCATTATGGATGATGACAGCGAGGATGCGATGGATATATCGCAGCGATCGAGGTCAAAGACGGCATCGAGTGATGCCGGAACGGATGAGGAAAAAGCTTCTTCGGACGGCTCTGATTCTGATACTCGAGAGACGCCCCTTGAGTCGAGTTCCAGACGAGAGGGTGGCCGGGGTAAACGTAGGAGAGTGTCCGACGAAGAACTGTCCGACGCTGGGCCTCCTGAGGATGAGGAGCTTCCGGTCTGGGCTGCGAGTAGAGAGCCGGCCGGCGACGATAAGCCAGATGAAGACGGGGATGTAGGGATGAATGCGGCTGCTGAGGATGATGACGATGATGATGATGAGCCGATGCCGTCGGCGAGACCGAGAGCACGGGTTAAAGGTGGATTTATTATTGATAGTAGTGACGAGGATGAATAAATAGACAGAGCTCAAAGAGAGTCTGGAATAGAGAGAGAGTCGACGGTTACGGTCACGAATATCCCGCGTTTAAGGGAGCCAAAGGATACCGATTCCATACTCAAGATTAATCGGTTCTACTTCACGATGGCCAATGAGACCCCTAAAAGAGATGTGAGCATTTGGCCAAAGTCACACAAGATCGATTCACGATTCAGTCGGCATTACCTACCTGAAAGAGTCGAGAAGGAACAAGGCAAGAGCCTCGTCAGTGCCATCACTGGAGTCGCGCCTTCCTGTGTTCCCAGCTCAAAATTCGAACCCAGGATAAGGCTTGTATACCAAATTTGGGGTCAGGATCTCCAAGAAAGGAACCTGCGGAGGTCTGTAGTCGTCATCGCTTGAACTTCTGGGATCTCCAATGGGACTATCTGGTTCGAAACGCATAGCGTACGAACGAACCTTTTTTTTTAATTATTTTAAATTTTTTTAAAATCATGTCTCGTTTGATTGCTGTGGCCTCTGGTTTTTGGGCAATTCACTCCCTACTCAAAGATTCAAACAAGTCTCAGAGACTGAAAAGCATCCCAATCCCATAAATTGGTGTCGATTAGCCCCTTTCCATTGTTCCGCCCCTTCTTCTCCTCGTCGATCTAGAAGCCAAAGTAGGATCTTTAATGTTGTCTGCAGTGAGCGAGTATACTTTTTCAAAGTCGCCGCTCTGAAGCAGCCGTATTTGTTCATGGCGAGGGTTTGCGACTACGACGCTCCGAGTGTCATGAGTACTAATCGAGCCTGAACCCGGAAAACGAAGCATGAGGCTTGAAGATGCGGGTGGAAATCACTGATTCACTTGTCGAAAGAGAAAGCATTAACACAGCGCCAAGGTTGGCTATGATTTGACGCCGGCATGGTGGAACGTTTGTTGGCGCTGTTGACGCGTCATGGTATCGCTCGGCATGCTAGTGGGACGAAAAGAAAAAGAGAAACGATTGCTGGCTCTTTACTTCGTATTGCTCTGGTTTCAGGGCCTTTTTGGTGGACCATTGCACTTGCACTGCCCGCCTGGCGGAGTCTGCGCCAACCTACTGTAGACTTTTTTTTCATTTGATATGAACATGAACATTTGCAATCGACCCATTGTATTATAAATATCCGCGGGAGCTCCAGGTCCCGCGGTAATGATGCTTCACTCTCATCTCCCCGTCTTCTAGAGTTCAAGTTGTCTGCCGGCATTCGTCCGCACCATCAACAACGGCAGTGGTGATAATTAGCGACGGCCAGTAGCGTCCTCCATACTTCCCCGCTTAGAGATGCGATCTTAAACGTCCCTCCCAAACCTCACCTCACCCTCCAAGATGCCTGAAAGCCACAGGCCCGCCGAACTCCCCATGAACAATCAGGGCGTCGACTTATTATCGCCCTTCGACAATAGTCGACCGGGCTCTCCTGATCCCATAAGCCGCTGGCGAGATCCCCGCCTCAGCTCTACGCAGTCTCTCGTTCCCTCGGAGTTTGAGGCCAATGCGGGGAGGCAAGGGAAGCGCAGGTTACTCATGATATATGTCCACGGCTTCTACGGGAATGATCACTCCTTCAAGTCATTTCCGGCACACACCCATGCCTACCTAAGGGACGCCTTGCACGAGTCGCACGTTGTTCACTCCAAGATCTATCCTAGGTATAAGACCTACCACGCCGTCCAGGTTGGAGCTGAGAGTTTCAGCACTTGGCTGGAGCCTCACGAAGACGAGACGACTGATGTTGTCCTTGTCGGTCATTCGATGGGAGGTATCTTGGCTGCAGAGACGGTATTGATGGTATGATTGAACAAAAAAAAAAAAAAATTGGGAGACAGGCGGATGGGCAAAGTTGCTTCAAAATACTAACATGATTGTGCAGCCGAACCCGAATCCTTTTGGCACCCATCCGTTCAAGCACCGCATTCTCGGTGTGCTTGCTTTGGATACTCCCTTTCTGGGCTTGCACCCGGGTATCATCCCTACCGGCATAGCCAGTCTCTTCCGCGGCTCACCAGAGAATACGAGTCTGAATGCACCAGAGCCCAGTAGAGGGCAGTCTAGATCTGCTCCCGATCTCTCCCAGGAGCTCAGCAACATCTCCCTGTCCACCACCACCTCAACGTCTCAATTCACCGATACCATAACCGAAACTAACACCCAGCCCACAAGCCGGACCTCCTCCGACTCGATCCGCCCGTCAACAGAAGCCACCCGAGGTCCCCTACCCCCTTACCCCTCAGAGCCCTCTTTGCCTCAGGATCCACACTTCAACCCCCCTTGGTTCAACGACACCATCCGAAGAGACCGATCCTTCTTCAAAGGCATCGCCCACTTCACCCGCAAACACCTCTCCGAAGGCGTCTTCAACGCTGCGTGGAAGCACGTCCTTTCCCACATGGAGTACGGTTCATGTCTAGCCGACTACCCGGGCCTTCATGACCGGTATAACCAACTACGTGCGCTGGAAAACGTCGACGATATCAAAGCGCTCACGAGTGACATTGTGACTCATGAGCCTAATTTCAGGCTCCGGCCTGTGAGGGTTAGGTTTACTAACTACTACACCAGCTCTACGGGGAGGATAAAGCCTGACAAGGTTGAGGGGAAAGAGAAGAAGGTAAAGGAGCCGAGTGTAGAGAATAATGAAGCGGCCGAAACAAGGCTATCCACTCCGCGAATATCCGTCGAGGTTCACGAGGATGATAAGGTCGCCGAACCTCAATTACTCCCGCCCATCCCCATTCCCGAAGACGAGGACGACGACGCACTTCGAGAGCCCCAAGCCCCGATGGAACCGGAAATCGAAGGTCTCCCCGATATCCCCCCACCGCCGACACCTCCCCCGCAACCCCCCTCGCCATCCTCATTCCCCGACAAAGCATCCCGCAAACAAGCCGAAAAAGAAGCCAAGGCCCTCCAAAAGGAATACGAACGCGCCGTCAAAGCCCGCGAAAAAGCTATCAGGCAGCGCAACAAGCTCATCGAGAAACACCACCGCCGACAGGCCAAGCTCGCCTCCAATCAAGCCCGTACATCCGCAGACGCCGAGGATGACGAGAACGACGACGGCGCGGGTAGTAAAGACGCGAAGAAGAAGCCCCGCAAATTCTGCGCCCTGCCGAGGAAACGCAACGGAGAACCCGACGCCGCGTGGGTCAGCGTGTTTATGGACGGCGTCGATGAGGTTGAGGCGCACTGCAGTTTGTTTTTGCCGGACGGTCCGCATTATGATCGGCTTGTGGGGGATGTGGCGCAGAGGGTTGTCGGGTGGGTGCAGGACGATTTGACGAGAAGGGCTATCGCGGATATGGGGGTTTGCTGAACTTGTTTGCTTTTCTTTTCTTTTTCTTCTTCTTCTTCTTCTTTTCAATGCTCTCTGCTAGCGATCATCTTTGAGAGCAAATCTTGCGAGATAGACGGCCAGATACCGCTTAGCCCTTTGGTACAGATTCCCAAGGCCTCGCAAAACTACTTAATTCTAATACAATAGAGTCTGGGTAATAATACGACCACAATATACTCGATCACATCTCCTTACGATGGATACGTCATGCGCTGGCTCGGTTTTGGGACAAGGCTTTCATGTATTGAGTGTCAGAAGCCTATTTGCAAGTTTAGAAAAGCAAAACTGATCTTGGACTAGTCCTGCCTTTGCTTTCCTTCTCAGCCAACGTCCATCTTCCTCATCTCCTCCCGCCTCGATAGCAAGACGGGGCAGGACATGGGAAAATTGAATGCTCCCTGTTTGACCTTTTGAAAAGAAAAGAGACACTAAAATATCCGCTGACCATGTGCGCTCTCGAGATATTAATCCGCTTGCAGTCCTTCATTTTGTTCTTCTTCTTTTAGGAAAAAACTTTTCTTTTTCACCCTGCTGGCCTGTTTCTGCCATTGTTCGTGGCATGAGTCCCCCTCGCGCGCTGTGGATGCATTTCAGCTCCAGAGCCTTTCAAGGGGCATCCAGAATAAACAAAGTCAACGCAAAACCTATAGACGAGAAAGAAAATAAGGCTTCGTAGAGGGAAAACAGCATGACTGTTAAGAAACCAAATGAGCCATAGAACAGGTCTTTTTTTTTCTGAGTGTGTTTGTGTGTGTGTGGTGTAATCGAAGAGGCAAAAGCATGAAAAAAGCCCTCTTCGAAAAAAAAAGGGAAAAAAAAAAAAAAAAAAAAAAAAAAAAGAAATGCACAGAGCATAGTCTTGTGCAGATATGAATCTCGTTTGACTCCTTTCCTTTTGAATCATTCCCTGAAACGCCATGCAAGCAAGTAAGTATAGTTCCATTGAAGCCCAATGGAACGTGAAAGAAAAACAGTTCGGGGCATGTTCAAGTGGCGGTGGTGATTCCACGTCTTGTTCTGGGTCTCAAAGGAATCCACCATATTCCCGAGACTCAAAAAAGAGACATGGCACAAGAGATGCCTCGTGGTATAGTGTGTACAGTTCTGAAATGCAATAAATTCCATCTGTTCGCCAGCCCTCATGCAGTAAGTGGAAGTTGCGCAGACACGGAAAGGAAATGGGGCAAGGAAAAACCCCGACGATTGAACCATCTGAACCAATATCTATAAGGCCCCTATATGGCCCTGTGAGAAACCTTGTGAAACTATTGTTAGAAAGAAAGCGTGTAGGAGAGTTGCGGTGGTGGCTAGCGGCAGTCATCAACGATGTTATTCTACCTTGTTCTTCTTAGGCCGGCCGCGCCCTCGCTTCGCGGGAGTGTCCCCCGTGGGAGCGGATGCTTTCGGCGGGGCCCTGGGTGTCTTCGGAGTCCTGAGAGGATTGGGTGCCTTCCAGGCTCTAGGAGCCTTGGGAACTGGGGAGGTATTCGAGGGCTTCGAAGTACTACCGTGACCTTGAGAAGTGTTGGGAGGGTTTTGTACAGTGGGGGTTTGAATTGTCTGGACAGTAGCATGAGCGTCTTGAGGCTCAGTTACCTCCTCCATGGGTGTGCTGCAGATAGACAGGGGATGAGGCGTGGCTGGCAACGCAGTCTATGCGCCAACCATCCCAGGGCCATACCCTTGCTGTCGTAATTGCGAGAATGGCTGCGGAGTGGAAGAATTCTGGACCAGGTTAGAACCGCTGTACACCAGAGCGCTGTACACCAGAAAATGTCACGAATACAAACCTTTTTGCGCCGCTTCGTGCCGTTCCTGTCCTCGCCATCTGCAGTGGAGTAATCACCCTCGTCGTCCGGATAGCCTTCACCGTAACCTTCAAAGCTGGAGTCGCCGTAGCTGCGCTTCTTGATGCTCCGTCGTGGCCGAGATGGGTCCTGACCGACTGCTTGTGTTTGGCTGGCCACCTTGAGCCGGGCTGATGCGGCAGGCGTTGATCCTGCCGGTGTGTTCAGCTCTGAAGCCTTTGCAGAGCTTGTGATGTTTGACGAGTTATCCAGCAGTTGCGCCGGAGACTCGAGGGAGCCAAGGATATAAGGATCCCAATGCTCTTTTCGCACCTTGCCTTTATTCATCGAAAGCGCCTTGGGAAGACTAGCGAGGGTGGTCTCTGAGAAGCCGTCCTGGATCTCCTTGCCCTTGACGTGATGAGTGTACCACACATCTTCTGGAAGATTCAGCATGGCGAAGAAGCCATCGGGATCGTCCTCTTGTCTCTCGTCCTTCTTGGTATCGTAAGCGCCGTCGATGGCAAGCTCCTTGATTTGGCTCTTGAAACTCTTTCGCAGAGCATTCTTCTCACCGGTAGGCTTCTCTCGAGCCATCTTCGTGGCGAGGCCGGTAAGGTCAAACATTTCAAAGAGGTCCTCTGCAGTTGAGTATTGGGGTACTTTGATGGGCCGATTGCAAAGAAGATATTTTTCGCCGACGTCAAGGTGGATATCTTCGATGCCCAAGGGCGGTGTGCCGAGGTGCACTTTTTTGGTGGCTTGATCGCCGAGATCCTCCGCTAACCTCTTTCGCTTATTAGGAGTCGTATCGTCGCCCGCGTCAATCATGGAAATATCGTGGGCCATGTCGGACGGCTGAGAACTGGCTCCAGTGACGCTGTGGGCGGGTGTGGGAAGGGCGCTCGTGATTGAAGTCATCGAGGTTGTGGCGCTCGTGAGCGGATCGGAGATCCCCGGTGATGGCTGTGATGGAGTTTGAGGAGTATGGGGATGATGAAAAGACATCGTGGGAGCGGCAGAATGACACTCTCTACGGGTGGGATGATCGCAAAATTCGTTCAAGGCGTGAGGAGTCGAGGAAAAGTCAAGTGAGGTTGGAGAAAATGGGGTTAGAGGGGATCGCTTGGACTGCAGTGAAATACTCGATCTTCACAAGACAAGCAGGGGCTTTCAGTCGCTCAGACTGAAAAAAAACTACACGGGCCCGTGAAGATCCGACGAGGAGAGCGATGCAGACGATGGCGTCGGGATGCGTAGGATGAACGAAGGACGATGGGAGGGTTTATGGCGAATCGCGCCAAGAGGCGACGAAATCTCCTCGGTCGGCCAACGGATTGGACGTCATGCACCGCCAGGATCTGTTTTGGTGGAAAAATCAATATTCAGGGACGCGGAAGGAATTTTCGAGTCGATCAGAAGGAAAATCGAAGTCGGAAAATTCGTTCGGCGTAATCGGAATCGCTTCAGGTCGTCGATTTCGTCGATTTCAGGATGGCGACGGGGCAGAGGTTCAGGTTTTGTCGTGGTGGTGAAGAAGTGAGGATGGTGGAGACGGCTGAAGAGGGAGGGAGAACATTGAAGTCAGGTCCGAAGCGAACAAAGAGGCATGGCCCATGGCCCTTTGGGATGGGATGGGGGCTGCCGAGACTGTGGTACTGTGAACTGGACTGGACGACTGGCACTGCTGACCACCTGCTTGGCGTGGCGGAAGGTACCACCGAACAGTCCACTGGTTCAGGCGCATCACCCCAAAAGAGCAGCCACCGCCTAAACCTCGCTTAATGAAGACTCGAAAAGAGAAGCCGCAGTCCCTAGCAGCTGTACCTGAAACCTACCAATCTTCTATTTTCGCCAGATCATACTGTGTACATGGTACTACACCCTGACATGGTTTTTTCCCTTTCTTTCCACGGTCGATTTCCAGATGCGGTATCCCATTCACGTGATATAGTGGGGGAAAAGCGACATCCTCAATTTAAACAGCAGCTCGTGAACCTCGTTCCGAATTTTTTTCCCTTTCCACTAAACAACGACCACCCATTCTATTCAATAGCTGACACGCCTTGGCTTTTGTTGCTATCTGCAATTTAAATGCTTTCCACGCTGTCAACTCTTCGAACCAGTGCGTCGAGATCAATGACTCGATTCTCCCTTGCCTAAAACCATCATCACGAGGGCCTCTCGTGTGGCTACCCATGATGCGGTGATGACCTGAAGCAAGCTTGGACATACATGCATACATACATATATATATGTATGTGCCAAACCGTACGGTCTTTGACGATGACTTTGTGAGCGGATGCGGGTGGAGGAGGGCGCGTTGTCGACAGGCCCAGTTATATTCTCTAAAACTTTCTCGCGTGGGCATCTTCCCACCTTTCGCTTTCGCCCAAGGTACGTAGGAAACTTATGCCAGACTTGATGGAGACTTGCATGAACCGCTTGATGAACAAACATCTGGTAAACCTACCTTCTGGGGCCGTCGTTTAACAGGAGGCTTATTCCTCAGTTTAACCACCCAGTCGCCTGAGGAAATTTGGCGATACGATTCTGAACGTAAACCACACAAGTTCTCTTGGCACTATGCCACATTCAGTATCAAAGACGCTCCTCACGCGCTCAGGTGCTAATTTTATTCTTTGCCCAACAGCTTTCTGCGCTTCCCGCGTAAGTAGTTTGCCTCCCGTGTAATCGCCTGTCGCAGTAATCCGCCGGCATCCCAAGGAACACTTGACGTCATGAAGCCAAGCCGCAGCACGTACGATCTTTGTGCGAACTCAAGCCCGCTAGCAATTTCTTGGATCTTGTGTACGAAGTAGTCTACCGAAAAAAAAAGTTGGCCATCTCCGATTGCTCAGTTGTTCAATTGATGCCTCTTTGACGCGGCGGCCGGTGCCTAAAGTTGAGTCATGAGGCATCGAGTCCTATTGAGAAATTAAAGCCAGCAGTTGCCTAATTCTTGGGCCAACAATGAGCCAGTTGGGTCCAAAAAAAATCCTATTGCTCCAGATGGACCTCATGAATCACGATGGCTCATGGTGCCTGCTTCTGCCTAGTGCTGCCTGGAGGAATAAAATTTCTGCCGGTCAAAATTAGGGTGGTGTGAGAAAATCCGCACGTTGCTCCAGTCCGATTTTTACGTAATCTACTGATTGGGGGACCGACCCTCACCGCCCTCCAAAAACTATAAATGCAGCCCTTCCCCCCCAACCTTTTGGTCTCCTTTCCTTCTTTTCTTCTCCATCCTTGTGCACGGGCGTTAAGCGTTACAGTGAGGATTCGTCCGAGTACGCTTTATTGCTTGTTGAAAACTTTTTTTTGACCACTCCATTTGGGCGTAGCCCGGATGGGAATTTTTGGCACCTTTCTCTCCCCTGCGAGATTTCTATCTTCTTTCATTGCTTCGGGTCCCTGGCGGACTTGGGTGAGGAAGCACACGAACGAGTGGTTTTACGAGCGGGCCTCGTCGCCATTCCCTGTCTCCGCGGATACAGTTGGGGGGAGGATTCTGTTCGATCTGAACGAGCTGGGTCATTTTTGGCCTGGACCCAGGTCTTGTCACACCCATTCGAGGATGGATGGATTCCTTGGGATTCCATAAAATTTCCCGCCACAGGTTCTCGGCCATTGTTGGCTCAGTCGCGACAGCGTTCTGTGACTGGAATTAGCGCGTTTATCGGCCAGTTGATATCAACAATGGTGTTGAGTTGCTTGTGACAAACACATGAATGTTGATGGCACGATGTTCTCACAAGCAGAATGTCGTTGGCATGACACACGACATGTGAGTCTCCGACGATAACCTTCAAACATTGAAGCTAGATTACGACCGCCCGTATCCTCGAACGCAGCATACATTCTGGGAATTTAAACTACGCAGGAAGCAGAATTAGTGGGTTTCTTTCTGGTCACTAGTGATAGTAAAGTAATGCCTGAAAGAGCGTCATCTCTGCTCTGAAGTATTTTCGACAAAATGAAGTTCCAATGTCTATAAATATCGTATCTGTAAACAACCTGCGTCGTGTAGCGTCGTGTAACCTACAGAAAACTGTCCTCTAGCTATCTACTGCGCAGCGTAAAGACGCCTTTTGACTTGGTATCTCTTAACGTCCTCGGGCATTATCCCAAGACAGGGAGACCTCGGCGAATATCACAAAGTCACCGTTCCCGTCTCAAACAAGCTGGAAGCTGGCTTCGAGGCCACGAAGTCTTGTCTTCTCCAGCGCCAATACAAACAGTTATATCACAATATCATGACGCCTTGCCGCCTTGAAGCTCCTCAACTTTTGATTCCAACTCCTTGATCTCAGCTAGCTTGACGGTCAGCACACGCTCCACCACATGAAGCCAAGCACACAAAGAGCGAGGTGCCAGAGGTTCGACCGCAACTTCTCACGCACCATTTCGTAGCACTTTCGTTTCGTCGGCCTCGAGCTTTATCCAGACTAGATATATTATTTGATAGGTCAGGATCGCCAGGAGGGTGACTTTCGCAATGGGTCGGCCAAAGGTCTTGTAGAAATTCGACTGCAGAGCCAGAAAGAGGTCATTGTCAGCCCAACATCACATTCCAGGATTCCTCAGACACATCACCAAAGAAATAAAAAGACAGAACTAATTTTTTCAATCTTAGGGAGGGCCGTCCTCACGTGTATCGAAGGTTTCTTCGCCTCGCTCGACGAGAATCGCTGGGGTTGTCGCGACGCGAATCCGAATTGGAGTCCAGTTCGAGGTACAGGTACGCGTGGCGCGATTCGAAGACCCGATGGTCTCGCCGCCTGGAGTATCCGTCGAGTCAACATATTCGACGCTGCTGCCTCATTGAGTCAAGTAACGACTAGGCAAACGTAGTCCTCTCGAGAGATCTAGAAAGCTCGGCTCGATGAGCAGAGGTTTGCCTGCGAGAAGCTCGCTAAAACCACGGCAGACACGAACCCTGATTGGGTCGCCCCACATTGCAGCCCCAACTGTCGTTAATTGATACTTTGTACTTTGTACCCCCGCCCACCAGTGGTTCGTGTGCTCCCAAGAATCAATGTCTTCCCCTGGAGCTTGCAGCGGAGCGATCCCATAGGCTCAATATTGACGACACATTGCCAAAAGTACAGGGCTGACTGTCACTCTAAGCATTGATCTAGTGAAGCCAGGAGCCTCGTTGAAATCTGTCCCTTTTCCATCTTCCATACTTCCCATGCCTTCGCCGACATTCGACGACGACGTGTCATTGCGACTTACGATTTAACGAGTAAAGAGTCCTCCGAATTCGAGTATACGAAATCGCACGTCGTCCACCATCCTTTATATATTTGGACAAGTCTCCTGCATTTGATTCCCATCAATTGCATCATCTCCATCTGCAAACTATCATAACCTCCAGAACCTCTTATTCGAACGTCAAAATGGTACGCCCCCAGTCCGCCCTGTTCAGCCTCGTCGCGAGTCCCCGCTCTCGTAAAATATCCGATAATTGCTATATTTCCCCATGCTGATGTTCGATTCCCATGATACCAGGTCCAAACACCCCAGCAACGTCGCCGTAACGCCCAGTTCGCCAAGGAGCAAGAAGCTCGCATGGGCAAGGCTCCCGAGGAGCTTAAGAAGCGCACCAAGGAGGTCGCTAAGTCGCCTATCTCCCCCGTCTGGGTTGGTAAGTTACTCGCCCTCGTCGCTATCATTTCCAGCGCCTGCGTCTCGCCGATCCCCCAGCACGCGACTCAACCAGCGAGCGCATCTCATGGGAAAGGGGCGGTAGACTCCATAAGAACCATTGATCCTTAGCTTTCCTCAGCACTTCTCCTGTTTTCTTTTCGTCCTACCTCGTCCCTTAAAGTGCGTATGTTCCCGATCCCTCGCTGACACTCTGGCACACAGCCATTCTCGGCTTCGCTATCTTCGGCAGTCTAATCTTCGAGCTCATCTCCCGATTCTTCCGGTAATAATTATCGTCCTTACATAGGGCCCTCTATCAAGGGGCATGCGTTCGACACACAAAACTACTTGCCAGGCCGGTCTGGGGGAACTCAAGTCGGGCTGCTCCATCAGATCGCCCGTTCAGCGAAGTATAATGTATTTCTGGGTATTTGGCGTTCAATGTCTATAATGGGACGAGGGAAAGGGTCCATTTAAAATCCCTACATGCGATACTTGTACCATCGGTAGATGCATTTCATTTCATTTGTTTCTCCTTGGATGCGAACATAAATGCGAAAAGAGAAGAGAGAGAAAAAAACAGTGAATCTGGCAGTACGACAAGGGTATACTTGAGTGAACATATAACTGTATTCCTTCCATGTCTCATATTCTCCTGAACTCCAATGTGACTTTTGTTACTTCCTCACTTACGCTCCCAAGCCCTTCCTCTTGCCCTGGGTATCAAACTTCATCTTGAGGCCCGTGTCATATTGCCTTTGGAGGTCATTCTGGACCCGGTTAATATCAAAGCCGGAGGACGAAGAAGAACGAGTCTGCGTTTGAGAAGTGCTGGGTGCAGCACCCTTGCCACCGCCAAGCAGTCTCATAAACTTCTTCTGTCTCTCCGATCCTCCCTCCAAGGCACCGACGTTCCAGTTGGCGGACGTCGCCGGGGTGTTTCCGGCGGATGGAGTCGCTTCGGAGGAAGGCTTTGTCACGGAGTTGCTTTTCTTATCCTTTTTATCCTTCTTGTCCTTCTTTTTCTTCTTGTCCTTCCGCTCCGCGTCATCAGCCTTTTCCTCGATGCCGCTAGCAGGAGTCTGCTTGACATCCTCGGGAGAGTTCTGCTCATGTTTGCGCTTCTTTCCCTGTTTCTTGGCCTTCTTGTCCTCCTTAGGGGTAGCGATATCTGGTTCCTGTTCAGGCTCAGCAATGTCAACTACGGCCTCGGCGCCATCCTTTTCGACATCCACCGCTTCCTCGATTTGCTTGTCCTTCTTCTTCTTTTTCTTGTCTTTCTTATCCTTCTTGTCCTTCTTGGGTTTAGCGTCCTCCTCTTCATCAGCTACCGGAGTGTTATCAACGTCCATAGCCGTCTCAGCGACCTCTGGAGAGTCAGCGTGTTTGTCCTCGACTTTCTGTTTCTTCTCTTTCTTCTCCTTCTTCTTATCCTTCTTTTCCTTTTTCTTCTCCTTCTTGCTCTTCACTTCGTGCTCTGGCTCTTCATCAACATCCATATGGTCATTGGTGTCTTCTTGATTCTCAGCCCCTTGATTCTTCTCGGCACCTTCCTTCAATGCCTTAGCCGTGTCTCGGAGTTGGGCAGCGATAGCCTCATCGACAGCTGTGGCATCGTCAACTACCACAGCCGGTGAATCAGAGCCGTTAGCGCCAGTACTTGGCTTCGTCACAACATCATCCTTGACATTGGCGCCCGAAGGCTTAGAGGCAGCATCTTTCTTGGTTGCCTTACCAGGCCCAATGTATTGTCAGCATTGGGCCATTCTTTGCCTATCCGAGAAACAATTCACGTACCTTCCCATCCAGCCGAGCTCTCAATGCTGCTGCTTGCTTGAGGAGCTTAGCGGCTCGCTGCTCGAGCCTCTCGGCCTGCGCCAAGGTTTTAGTGCACTGGTCGCCACCTCTTTAGCTACAGATGATTCTGCCTTGGCTACCTTTACCTTGTCGGGAGCCTTAAGCTTCCTTTTGGACATTTTGTAAGCCTTGGGCTTGAGCTTCTTCCTTTCAGGTGCCGCAGAGTTCGAAACGCCTAGAGCTGCACAACAAGCCTGTCAGCCTGATCTTTCACGGAAAGATAGTATTAGCAGTATCATATGGTGGATTGGAGTCTCTCATGCAGTGAACCGCATTTGGAAGATGAAGAGGGGTGTGTGTAAAGGCGAGAAAGATGCCATTGGGTGCACCACAAGGAACGCCCATGGCGTGGAAGGATATAGATCAAGAGATTCCCTAGGTAGAACGAACCTGTAGGTTCCAATAGATCCTTCTGCGAGAATCAAACTCAGCTCGGCATGCCAAGCTCGCTGACCGAGACCCAAATGAAATGGATGTCTTATCCTGAGCCCAGTGCGAGATGGGAAGAGACAGACAGCCAAATGGAGTCTAGATATCGAATGGCGAGGCTGAATTTTCACCTGCAGACCAACCAGATGATCTGCAAGGAGGTAACGCTTCTAGGAATAGATCTAGAAGCGTAATTGAGGGATCTGAGGGGTGGATGGATGTCGAGGGTATCCTGGATCACAAGATTCTGTGGAGGGGTGGAAACAAAAGAGAGTGTGAGCGTTGGAACGAAGCAAAGAAAAATATACTGCCGGGCGGTGAACTTGAGACTCTGGGAAGAATGTTGCATGGGGCTGCATGTGAGGGGCAGATTTCAGAGGCAGGGAAGCCGCGAGGCATACTTGCTCCTGCAGAAAGAAACCGCAAATCAGGGTCGGTGACACACGACACTTTGACTGATTCAACTGATTCAACTGATTTTGATACGGATTTGATCTGATGACATTAGACTGTACGAGTGCAACATCAAATTGAGCTACCAATGATTGGTTTCCGCACGTACAATTTGAAGCAATTACCAGATGCGGGTCTCTGTGGTCAGGTCATTGCCGTCCCATCAGGATTCCGGGGATTCCCTGAATTTGACAGCTCGGGGAGTCAATCTTCGCCCCCAAAGTCTCCTGCATGGAAGCAAATAAGATTGATCCCTACCGGGCGGGTAGGGAGTCCAGTCCAAGAGAATTCGATGATACACCCCAGTACATCATTGCTACAACCCGTCGATACTCAGCGACTCTGAGGGCCATTTCCGGCATTGATATTGATCTTGATCATTCCACACCAATGCTGTCCCTGCTGCAAGACCCTAAATATTGAGGTCCAGCCAACGCTGAACGTGCACGCGGCCCCGGTTTTAACGCCCCCCCGCTGCCCCCAAGTCCGCCCAGCCTGGTCATTCGGCGCGAATGCGATGTTCAGCACGGACAGGCAATACGGCAGATACGGCAACACTTATCGCCGACACGGCCTGGCAGTCGGAGCTGATTAATAAAAGCGTCGCAACTTCTATTCTGACAGATGACGACGATCGTTTCGTGTCGTACTCGTCGCAAAACCCTTTGATTCGATAGCTTTTCGAGAGTCTCAACAGCATTGCCTCCCATTTTATTTCCCTTCTTTTCTCCCCCCCTTTTTTTCTCTCACATTTTTTGGCTCTTGTGTACATGTAGTACGTACCAGCGAGCTGCGTCAATCTCGTAAAGAACCCCGCGCCCGCTGAACCTTTCTGCGAGATAGTCGCAAAGGATCACCCACCGCCCCTCCTCGGAAAAGTGCCTTGCGAACTGTGATATCCTCCCACAGTAGCCTAACACTTGCAGTTCGAGGCCCTCGTCAACTCATCATGCCAAGAAATCTCCAGCTGTTCTCACCCCCTTCAGCCCAGCCCTGGTCTGGGTTCCCCCCTCCATCCTACAAGACAGGAGTAATTATAGAATATGATGTGATCACCGTCCACTTTCATCCCGTGGCCCAATCCCATACCAGCAGTTATACATTCGTAAATTGCCCTATAAGGCGCATCCAGCTGAGAACGCTCCAAAAGCCTGTAGATTGTTTAATCTTTGACTTGGTGTGTTAGCAAAGTACCACACCCCACAAACGTCGCCTCGTCAATATCGCTTTACACTGGGGTGCTTTAATCCAAAGATAGAGCTTTTCTCCCTTGCTTAATTCTCTACCACGACTAGCTGCGATGCCGAGGAATAAGGGCCGAAGAATAATGTCGCGTGCTAAGGCCAGTAGTTCCGGTACACATTAATCATCGTAAGAGCAGGATCTGTCTTCCCATCACCTGCGACGGCACGTTACATGGCAGGTAGATTTGGGGAGGTAGAACCGATTTGAGCGGATGCTAGATCCGTCATCGACTTTAAGACAAGCAACTGAAATCTTCTTAAGAGTCTACCATACGAAACTAGGAACAGAACCAAAATTCGCTGTGCTGAAAACGAGTGTAATAAAGCATCCGTTCGCCATCCAACTCCATCCTCTGATATCATGATCCATGAAGAGATAGACACAAAGTTTTCCCAAAAACAACCGTTATATGCCTCTAGTGCGACCGAACCCCCCAAAACTACCATCAGAGATGCGAAAGCCTTGCAAAAAAGAAAATGCTAGGTAACTGAAATGGGTAAAGAATCTTGAAAGTAAAACAACGGCGGACCGAGTAACACCCATGAGCCAATCAAAAGAAGAAAACGAAATAAAAGAAGAAGAAGGAAGAACGATGAAGAGCAACGTAGGTAAAGAATAGTCCACGAGGAAGAGCAACGGAAGAAACATAGAACGAGTGGAATGCTGAAACTGTAGAGTTCGCTCGAATCGAAGGAAAACCAAAAACCGGAATGCAAAAAAACCCGAGGTAAGTTTGCGCCTCTTTTATATAGCCCGTATAACCGATGAGAAACCGAGAAGGAGATGATGCGAATCATCTCGGCAATGTTGACGAGAATTGTATGAGAAGAAGAAGAGCAGGAGTTAGGTCTAGTAATAAATCTGGTCGGTGTCTTCGCTGGCATGGAGAGGCGCCAGTGAAAAGTTCGCTGCGAATGGCGGGCTCTCAGGCCAGGGAGTTGATGCTGTAAACTGGTCCGTAACGAAATGACCTGTAACACTTAGGTGTTAGTAAATGGATTATTTCCACGTTTGGAACAGAAATGACTACGTGCTCTTGTCATTTCCCACCTTGCTGCGGAGGGGGAGGGTATTGCGATTGTTGGGCTGGGATACCTGAGGAGCCGTAGAATAACTGCGGGTCTGTCTCGTAGTATGGACCATCCTCTCCCGCACTGCTTCCTCCGAAACTGCCATGGCCGTGGTGCTGCTGGTAGGACGGTGTTGCCGCGGGGTACGGCGCGTGTTCCATAAATGGACTCGTCTGGTATCGTCCGTCTTCGCGTAGGTAATCGCCTCTGCCGCTGCTTCGTCTGCTCTCGGCCTCATGTCCCCTGGAAACTACATGTCGCATCGAGAAGGTCCCCCACGGAAGGCCTGATACCTCTTGGTCTGAAGCTACATCGCTTGGCGTCGGTATCTGATAGCAACTTCCAGCATGCTGCTGGTTCCTGGCTTCCCGCTCGGCCCTTTCTTTGTTTTCCCTGGCCTTTTCGCCTACATTTTGAGACAGAGTGTTAGTCATTCCTCCTCGTGTCTCAAAGTGGCGTGGAAAGGGCATTTGGCACTTACGGAACTTCCTTTGCGCAAGCTTGTTTTGGATCCTGCGTCTCTCTTCTGGCTCAGTGACCTCAGTCCAATCATCGGTGGTAGACTTGGACTTGGACTTTGATTTCGAAGAAGAGGACGAGTTCGACTTCTTCGAGTTGGACTCGGCGTCTTTCTTGGAGGAGACCTTGGGTGCCATTATCTTCCTTGCCGCAGGCTCTGAACTAGTTATGTCTGCTTCGGAGGCGCTACGCTTCCGGCTCAACGCCTTTGGAACCTGAAGACTGGAGGAGATAGTAGGAGACGGCGCGGCAATGGTCTGGGTCGCGGCTTTGGAAAGAAAATCCTCTGGTTCTGGCTGGAGAGGAGATGCGCTGCGAACGATGATCGAGGGTAATGTGTTTTGGCTACGCGAATCTGATGGTGCGCTGCTGGACATGTACGGCTGGAAGTCGGTTTATGGAAGGCGTTGGGACGGATAATGCCCCTTCATAGCCAAGGTTGGAGTGGCAATGGTGTTTGGCGATCGTTCGACCTTGTGATTGGCATACAATGGTAACTTGTTAAATATCTAGAGAAGAGAGTGGAGAAGGCGCAAAGTGTTGGTGAAGACGCGCCAGAGTTGGGAAATGGCTAGTGCGAGGGATGGGTAATGTATAAGAGTGTAGATGAGTATGAGACTTGAGCTTGTCGATGTCAAAAGAGAGTGAGTGAAACACACGAGATGTTAGTTCGAGATCATGGGGGGACGACGAAGCTACTGATCTATATATACTCGACAAGGTTCTGCCTGGCAGGGTTGAACGGTCTACTTGTCGTCCGAGGTTGGGGCTAGTAGTAGTGGGGTGTGATTTTGTGAATAAAAGTAGAAACAATGACGGGAGGAAGGCCCCGTGTGTTCACGGCCAGCCCCGAAGTTGCTCGCCTTGGGCTATAGGGCAGACTAGGCAAGGCAGCCGAGAAAGGCTTCTTCATCGAAACGATCAAAACGAGCCACACGACTGCCGACGTTGGGCCACAGTGACTGGCACGGGATAGCACATGCTCGTCTAAATCGAGGGTTGAATGAGGGTGAGTGAAAGAGAGAAGCTCTCGAGGCTTGGCCTTCGCGGCAGGGGCGTCTGGGAAGTGGACCCGCGGGGTCATGATGTAGTGTAAGTCTTGTAAGTGAACAAGAAGGGAAAGGCGTCGGTCGAGTCATGGCAAGATGCTATTAGCGCAGTGTCCAGAATAGCCCAGACGGCAGACGGGATGGAATGGAGCAAGACTAGGGTAGCAAAAGGTGAGATGCTAATACTGTAAACTGGGTCGACCAGTGACAGGCAGGATGTGACTGTCTGTAGGGCAATGGAGAAGAGGTACCCTCGGAGTACAGTACCTACAGGAGTCCCACGTCCGGACGGGATAAGGGAATGGATACATTGAGACGAGATAGTTACACTGCGGGAAGGGGGCTTTCCTTTCAGGCATAGTTTACTGCACTAGAAGACTAGAAGAGGGGCGAGTACCTGGCAAGTGCTCTGGATAGAAACAGAGGGGGTAGGGGTATGTTATTATGAGGGGGTGGGCGGATCAAGAGAGCGAAGGGTGTGTCGAGAGAAGGAAAGGAAACCCCAATGGCACTACTTCGTTCTCCATACCCTCATACGCCTGTGGCCTGGTATTATTGTGAACAGTGGCAGTAGGAAAGGGGCTGAAGGAGTGGTGGTGTTTGAGAAGTATTGGCTGGCTGCAAGAAATAGCACGCTTGCCTGGTAAGGTCAATGATGGACCCTCTCTCTCATGATGGCGTCCCAGGTTCATGGACAACCTTGTTTTTTGGGGGGGGGAAGATGGTCATAGATGGGGATGGACGTGCATACTTCGTAGTGGAGGGGGTGGGATTTTGGGGTGCCCACATCTCAAAAATGGTCTGGTACGGGAGTGGGCCAATCCCGCCTTCCTTCATGTTCTCCACGAGCCCAGGCAAGCAGTTCCCCGATTGTAAGGGTAAGCCAAGGCTTTGGATGGAAATAGTAACTTTGCGGAGAGCCCAGGGTAATCATCTGCTCCAGAAGCTCAGGGGTGGTCAAATATCTCTCCGTTGAAAGATGCGATGGATGTGGGATGGGGAGAGACGTGGGCTAGATCCGAGATAATACGGGCAGAAAATGGGACTAACACGCTAACACTCCACCATGTTCAATGGGGCCTGGTCGCTGTGCTAGTCAGGGAATCAAGGATAAGAGCAGACAAGGGACAAGGGACTGTTGTTAAAAATATCAACAGCTCACTTACATGCGGAATTGAAGAAGACTCCAGGCCAGGTCCCTGAAGTGCAAGGAGTGGATTTGCTGGAAATTACCATTCACACGCTTTGCTCGCAGGGAGGCCAGGATGTCGAATCAAGGGCGTGGTTCACTCTCCAGGTCTTGTTTCACTCTTGGGAATGTGGAATGAAGGTGGGAGTCCGTAGGAATTCATACATGTAAATCTACTTGCACATTCTTGTTTCGATTGAGAAAGTCAATGTTGATTCCCCCAGGAGTACATTACTCCGTACATCCCTCAACCTCATCGAACCTGAGTGGGAGACAGGAATCGTCCAAGGGTGGAGATTATGCAAGACGGCGAGATCCGATGAGCCTCGAGATAAATATAAACTTGATAATAATATATCGACATCATTACTGGAGGAGTGTTTGACTCGGTGGCCGAGTTGGCAATGGCACTGGTACTGAGATGTTATCAATTGATGTCGTTGAAAATATTCATTTTCCATTGTCCCCTGCCAGCAAATCCATCACCATATTAGCCTGGCAAACACCAGTCTTCCAAAAGTCTTCCTCAACAACCGGAACACGAGGCCCATGTGTCGTCAGTTCCAATTTCTAGGACCGTGAGCAAGCAAGATGCATCAATCAATGACAAGGTATATGCGATTACAATATGAGCGGATGTCCTCGCGCGAAATTCACGGCTGGTACAAGTCGAGGGTCAGAGGTTCTCGGCAAGTGAATTTCGGAAACCGCATACGATCTGGATTCAATGACAGTAGTGTACATATGCAAGAAGGGATGCCAAAGCCACTGTTATTGCAAATTATTACTGCAATTATGCTGGGAAAATGTCTCGCCACCTGGCATTTGCCATGCCAAGACCTACGACGTCGGGGTCACAGCGGGGGTGGGCTGCAGCAGACTGCACCGTTGGATCATTTAGAGTACAGAACCAGCACGCGAGGTGATATTAAAAGTGACACGGTTTTTATTTTTATTTTTATTTTTATTTTATTTTATTTTTTCCCTTTTTCCTTTTGGGAGGGATTCTGGTATCTGGCAATGTCAATGCTCCCCGTGAAGGAAAGTTCCGTCCGCCTGGCCGGCACGGTCATGCTCGGACTGAAAGTCAACACCGAAGCGTTTTTGAGGCAAGCCGAGGCCAGAAATAAACCATAAGCACCTTTTTTCGCGATGGATATATAGAGTCAAAGTTCTAACTATATCTGGGAGGATTCTCAGCTCGACAAAGATAGAGAACCAGGTTTAAGATGATATTTGACGATGCGACCCTACAGGCCAGAGGTGGGCTCAAACTTCAAGCCGCTTGTGGGGTGTGGTTTGCAGAATTCCAGGGTCTGAGGATGTTACTCCTGTCATGTTATCCGTGGTCAGACCAAGCAAAGATTAATGTTCAATGTCGCATTTCTTCGAGGTCTAGAAGTACACCATGTACATAAGTTTACATCGGTGTCGTACTGGGCCCAGCCTTTGACCCAAGTTTGAGAAGATCCACTACAGCCCTGGTCATATTACACTTCAGTTGTATTCTGTCTTCCCTTGCCTTAATGGCTGCCGTGTAATATTACTTCGTTCTTCGAAGAGGATGTTTGGACCAAGTTGTTTGGAGTATTATTATTTATTGCTAGTCTTTTATTGGTATAGGCTTTTTATGTTTCATACCATCTTTAGCATCCCAGGCCGCGGGAGGACCGTTGTCATTGCGGTTGCAGGCCGATGAAGCAAGTGGCGTCGGGGGAGCAACTTATGCTCTATCACTTATTCTTGACTCAAATCGAGATATCTCCGATTGAGGCCGACCCAGAAGACTTGGAAGCAGGCGGCTGGCAAGGCTGTGCATGCAAGATGGCTGCAACGTCTCCATATGACAGAAGCAACTGGTCTCTTCACTACCTTTCATGGTTGCAACGGAAATAGGCCCAAAAAATCTGTACAGAGCTATACTGGGCACTCGAATGAGAACTCTTTGGTCCCGGAAAATCCAGTACGGGATGGACACGTCAAAGCAGATGCACCTTACCGATTGTTGGCAAATGTATTCCACTCTTGGATCCTGTCCCTGGAATAGTATGGTCGCGGGGGAGAAATCTACATTACTGATACCAATGGCACTTCTCCATTGTCAATTGATCTTCCTTGAAGTTGGCGTCCTGATATCGTGGGTGCTAGCTCCGCGGGAACCTATGGGAGAAAACGTGGCGCCAAATCGGCGCAATTGCAAAATACTTCGCACCCTCCAAGTAGACGCCACCTCGGAACAATGCTCAACGGGGAATTTGACGGACCGTTCACTGACCGACATCACGTCTTAGGAAGTCGGGACGCCGATAACACCGATGCCCGACGGAGCATTTGCAGCTCGACATGGGATTATCGATCGACTTTCATAGCTATTATTATCTCTCAATTGCCAGCTGAATCCAGCCTGGCATTCAAAAGCAGGTATCCGCAGATCTGGGCTCCCGCAGAACTCTTCCATTCAGCGTGGGATCGAGTTGTAGTTTCAATGTTCTAATTCGTGTGTGGCTGTGCAGCCCTGCCTGCCGAAGTGATCTACATTTAGACTTGGTGATCCTCAATCTGGTGTCAGGAAAGCCACCTTCTCTTTTTCCGAAAAGAGATTCATGCCATGGGTTCCAAAAATGAACACGCCAAGACAAACCAGTCAGGTCCGACGGACACGGAGCCGGTTGAAAGTCGATTGTGCACTTATTTTAGCTCCTTCGGTTTTCGGTCGTGGATAAGTGAGGGATCTTCGAAAAAGTTGATGATTCCTCATGCCACTAACGACCATTCATAGTCACTTGCGTGAAGTACGAGCCTGAAGTAGTGTAGACCCCGGAATTCCCGAGACTGTCAAATTTGCGAACTTGCTACTTGGGAGGCCGGGCGAGACCACGGTAGGATCAGCATCGACGATCGATCCTTTTTGATCCTCAAGGCCAAGGATTCGGTATTCATGCTTAAAATTAGGGGGTTCTCGGACCCGAGTTATGCTAAAGAAACATTGTTCTTCAAGGAAACAAGACCCTCAGTTACCCCGGATTGGATGGACAGACAGACATCTTTCAGAAAACATCATTGCCACCGTGACATTTAGACCCTGCGCCATTTCCTGATTTAGAGCCCTGCCACGAGAATGGCCACTTTCACTAGCATA